GATTTATTGGTTAAAAGAAAAATTTTTGGACTTGTAGTCCAAACACCTAAAGGTGTAAAGTTAGTAGCTTAAGAATTTTCACAAAGGCCTGAATTTGATTATGATGAAACGTTTTCACCTGTAGTGGATGCTATCACATTTAGATATCTTGTGAGTTTTGCAGTACATGAAAAACTAGAGATGCGTTTAATGGACGTTGTTATTTTATATGAAAATTTTGAAAATGATATTTATATGAGAATTTCTGAAAAATTCAACATGCCTGAAGCATGCAAATCAAATCCTAAAGATATTTATTCTATTAAATTATAAAGGTCTTTGTATCGGTTCAAATAATTTGGACGTATGTGGCATAACCGCCTCAATGAATGTCTAACTAAAGAAGGTTATACCAATGATCCAATATGTCCATGTGTTTTTATCAAGAAAAATGGATCAAATTTTGTGATAATTGTTGTATATGTTGATGATCTAAATTTGATTGAAACTTGTGAAGAGATTCAAAATAGTGTTGAATATTTGAAGAAAGAATTTGAGATCAATGATTTTGGAAAGACAAAATTCTGCATTGATTTACAAATTAAACATTTGAAAAGTTAAATTTTTATCCACCAAACTGCATATACCCGGAAGGTATTAAAGCGGTTTTATATGGATAAGACACATATATTAAATACTTCAATGGTCGTCAGATCATTATATCCTAATAAAGATCCTTTTAGATCGCGAGAGGAAGATGAAGAGATACTTGATCCTGAAGTACCATATATCAGTGCAATTAGCGAAGAATATTGGAATGCGACGATTAAAAGATCTCAAATGATGTTTGCATCAGAGGAAGAAATTAATACACAATAATAGTGTACTCTTTTTCCTTCACTAGGGTTTTTGTCCCAATGAATTTTTCCCTGGTAAGGTTTTAACGAGGCATATTCTTTGTGTAATGGACATCCAAGGGGGAGTGTTATGAAACAATTAAAAGTATGGATGTCCCTTTGTATTCTCAAGATGATTAATTCTTGATTTATGGTTACATTATGTATATAAGTTACAATCCATAAATCTATTCATATAGTGGAGAAACCGTTTCATAGGTTTCTTCATATTCTTGTAATAGTGGGTGTTTAATAGAATTGATTTACCTTTAATCTTGTAGTACCTATATATAGAGGTACATTGACACCTTTTAGGAAGACTTTTGTATTAGTTGGAATCATAAGAATATCATTTTCAATTTCTCTACATCTTTCTCTAATATCTCCATTTATACTATAGTAGTTTATTAGTTTTACAACAACTATTAAATTCTAAAACTAGTTTAACATCCACAGAACTACAACATTAAAACTACACACGAACTAGTAATAGTTTATTAAAAAGTATATAAACTAAAAAATGTTCAGCAATAATAAATCCAATTAGTTCAAAATGCATGAAAAATAGTACTAAAATATAATGAACGCTCAATACATCTTCAAAGCTCTTCAATTTGCTTGTACAAAGATTTGTCATTCTAAATCTTTTGACATAATTTTGTATATCTAATATTTCTTATATATACTAATATAATTTGACACATAACTCATAAGTATAAAGTATTAATATTATATATTTAGACATATAATCGCATATATGTATATGTGTGTGTGTATATATCAAAATATGAATATATTATATATAATTTATATATATAGAAATGGATTAAAGGATCGAGCCTATATTCGGTTTGAGCCTAATAAGACCTAATCTCGGGTCAAATTTAATTATGACTTGATATTTAAGTTCAAACTCTGACCAACTCAGTGAAAGGTAAGTTTATCGGGGCTTTTTTTCGGATTGAATAGGCTAAGTTTGGGCTGACCTGATTCTATTAACAGTCACTGGATGATTATAATTATAATAACTACGCATCATTATCCTAGTTTTTGGACGTAATACTGGCAGTGCGTAATACGAAAATGCTTCCCTTTGGAGTTTGTCAGGAACCATGCATTTGCCGAATGAAACCAACTTGAATATCCCCAAAGTTTAGCAACTCGATTGTCGCAATGAATAGTTCCATGTTCTTGATCAGGCTAAATTAAGGACTTGGCCCTGTAGCACATAATTGAAGTAATATGTTCCTGAGACTAAAACCTTCCTAGGTTCGAGATATTCTTCAACCCCACCTCCCCCAAAAAAAAAAAACTATATGGGTCGTAAATCTTATATCACGTAAAATGGAGACGAGTGTCTATCACCTTCTACCAAAACAAAACAAAAAAAAAAAAGCAAAAGAAAAAAGTCAATTGTTATCATATGCTAGTCTTACCTTGAAAGAATTAGCAAAGGCTAACATGTCAAAATAGACGTCTATAGCTGAACAGGGCAACCGGAGGGTGATCTTTGTCAAATGCGTGTTAGCACCTTTAACTAGTTTTGGGAATTTCAAATTCCTGGGCAACTCTTTTGCGTCAGACGGACTAGATTAAAATAATACAATCATCTTACTCTGGCGTGAGAAGGAGAAGAATTGACTGTGCCTCCACCGCCGACGGACAGCCATCATCCCCATATTCTAAAATGGGGAGTTCCCATTGGACGCGGATCGATCAATTATTCAGATCGATGGTTAAGCGATGAAGTCTAAGTAAACAAAGAAAAGAAGAAATCGATGAGGTCTAAGTAAACCTACCGCTTTAGCTAAGTTTTGACTAGTGCACTTTAATAGTATTTTTTAAGCTCAACTGGCGATTTAGATGATAATGTCTCATCACTTCCAACATGAAACCGCCAAAGGGAACAAGCACGTGCCCTAATTTTATTCGTCTAATGCCCCCAAGTTGCGTGCGATGATTTTTTGCGGGGCTCTAATCTTAGTAAAGTTTCTCAATTTAGGCTAACAATTTTGAGATAAAAGCCTCCACTTTTGGAATACTACCGTAATATCTTTGATTTAACGGATAACAAACACTTTACTAGGAGTATTATTTTTCTTTGGGGCCTTGTCCGTTGATTTTGAGCAAATTAAACAAGGTCTATAGAAGCTAGAGAGGCACGATAAGAAGGTGGAAGAGTAACTTTATTCTTTCTTTCTTATTATTATATATATTTTTTGGTTTTTTTTGGGGGGGGGGGGTATTGGGGGAGAAAAAACCTTGATTATCATATTTTGAGCTGAAGAAGAAACATATATGGCCATGCAAGGATATAATTACTTGCACCCTGCTCTCGAGTGAGCTTGGGTGGATAGAATGGGTGTTGGCCAAAACACAAGTATGCCCTACTCATATTTAGGGTTGCAAACGGGTCGAGTCGAGTCGAGTTTTGATCTAATTGAATCGAATCTTAACATAAGTTTATGAAACTTGAACTTGACGAGTTCAAAATATAAAACTCGAACTCGAGTTCGACTCAAATTCGAGTTGAGCTCGAACTTAAAAAAAATTTAAAATAATTATTTTATTTTTAAAAAATAAATAGAATAATAATTTTTCTTAACAAATAATAAAATATTAGGAATATATATGTAATTTTACTATTAAAATAAAAATAAAAATAAATAAATATAATCGAATTCGAATCGACTCGCAAACTAACAAATTTAGTATTTTTGAACTCGAATTCGACTTAATCAACTTGAACTCGATGTTAACTGAACTTGAGTCGAGCTCGAACCCAATTGAGAGCGTCAGCCCTACTTATACCCACCGCTAGTATACAACAACACTATTAAAAGGAGACAAGCGATGCTTCTGGTTAGTCAAAACTTAATTAAGAAGATGTGCTAAATGAGAAACCAAAAGTGAGCCTTTCTCTTTTCGTCTTTTTGGGTGTAGAACTGAAGAAGTAAGTTAGGCGGTGACGGAACACCAAAGATCCATCATTCATTGCACAGAAGCCAATTATTACTCTAACATTTTAGGTTGAGGAGGGCAGAGGGGGTGCACAAATGCACAGAATCATGCCACCTCTTTAAATTGCGAACCAAAAGAAGGACTAGTGAAGGATAACAATCAATTATCGTCTTAGAATGGAAAGAGATTTTTACGTCCGGTATGCTGAGTGAGTGAATATCAACGAATCCCTGTCCCAACTACGAAGTAGAGCATCAAATGATTTGGTTTTAAACCAAAAGACAAATGCTAATTGGTTAAAGGATTAAGGACTGAAGGTTTATTGACTCAATCAACCCACCACGTGACGGATGATATCAAGGATGCATTAATGTGTCCAACGCGTGCTTATTTCGGCATGCACAAGGGTAACTTTTGCATACCGCACGATGAAGGCAAAGTTGCAACCATCTAGCGAACTGGCTCAAAGAATTGAGATCTACTCCATCAAGAAATCAAGGTCTTTTACCAATTGACCAATCCTGGTCTTAATAATATATTTTGTGTGTGTGTGTGTTTTTTTTGTGGGAAATGGTACAACATTTAGTTTCAATTTCCATTTATTTTAAATTTTTGTTGCCTTTTTTTTTTCTAAACAAAGAAAAATCACTTGTTATTTGAGGCATGGTAGGACGTCTGTTGGTTTTGCTAATCGTAGGTTCTTCTTTCCATCAGAACAATAGAGCCGTTATGCTCATTATTAAACTTGTTGAAGGGATGAAATATAACCTTCAGAATCAATAGTCAATCCTATTTTCGATAAAGGGCAGTTGACAATTGAATTTGATTTTGACCAGTATTTTCATATTCATAATAGTGTGAGAAGATGGACCGGCTCCAAGTTGTTCAAGAAATTACAAATTTTGGTCCACAAATAGATATGTACATTCCCTCCGCTTGGCTCAAATTTGATATTCCCATGTTTAAGTTGTCTAAACTGTTTTCACAAATGTGAGTTCTAAATGTGAGTGGTTGGCTTTGAGTGCCAAGTTTTGTTGGTACATCATGCATGTGGCTTTTTGGCCTACAAGTAAATAAGTCCACCATAAGCCAAATACTAGTGCTAATTTATATTTAGCCATTACATAAATATTTCTATTTGCTTGTGCGCTAATTAGTGGCTCATTTTGCAGCCAGGCTCTTTAATTAGCCTGAAATAATATGATATACTGATACTCAACAATTTATTGGATCCTAATTTGACAAATACACAATCAAAGTAGATAAACAAAATGATGAAAAATTAAAAAAAAAAAATCAATCTAAGCACTCAATATTTAGGGATGACCCAGAAAAAGTCACCCCCAGCACTGCAGCAGGTCGGATTTTTGAGCCATGAGAATCCGTCGGTTGGTGCCACACGAATAATTGAACTAATGGCGAGAGAGAGCAACGGCGGACATGGAAATCAAGAGCAGGAGCACGACAACTCCAATGAAGGAACCAACCAAAGCCCCCGCAACTCTGTCGCAGAAGGAGTTGTGCTGCTGACAGATGGCCCCACCATTGCCCTTGTGGGCCAAATGCACCATGGCGGCTGCTGAGGAAGCTCCACCCGTCAGATATGCCACCATCACCTAACAAACATTACACCATCACTACGTATCACTACATCGCTTTAGTTAGTTAATTAAGCCTAATAAATTGACCGTTTAGCCAGGACCAGGAGTTTTTATCTAAACTGCTTCATTTTTTCGTGCTGGGCTCAACCAAACAACGTAAATAGGAGTTTTTTTTGGGGGGAGGGGGGTGGGGGGGAGAGGGGGTGGTTGTTTACCGTGTCCAAAATGATCAAAATCACTCTAGTTACTCGGGCAGAACTCTTCAGAATATGGAAGATGGACAGTACGAGAGAAAGAACCAGGTAGCCGCATACTATTGCATTGGTAACCACCAGAAACCTGCCACATATATTTGTTTGAAACGAGAACTACTTTAGAAAGGAAAGAAAAAAAAAAGGGTTACTGCTTAAATGCAACGCAGCAAGACAATTGTCTTGAGGGGATGATCATCATCGATCAGTGATTAATATGATACTCCTAATTAAGAGATGCGGTTACAAGTTAAAAATGACATACGTGAATGTAGGAAGATCATCATATCCCGCCCCAAAACGAAAGAACCCTGCGAAAAACGGGCCAGACCCGTTGGCCGTTCCCACGGCAAGAGCACTCCCAAGGGTGCCAATTGCCGCAACCATTCTCATAACCAAGTCTAGTTTGGAAATCCCTCTGTTAGCCCCGGCTTTTGGAGCCGACTCATTGGACTCTTCGTCGACCTCAGGCTCGGGCGATACCTTTGTCTTCTTTTTGAAAGGCATTTTGCAACCAATTTCAGGGAGTATGAAACTGGGGTATTTTCGTGGTAGATTAGATCATTAGATTATGGTGCGATTAAACTGAAGAATGCAACTTCGATTTATACGATTCCTGTTGTTGAGTTGCGCCGCTGGTGAAACCGGAACTAAATTGGGAGGTAGACTCCCACTCAGTTTTTGGCCAACGACCAAAAATGTCCATTAATTGGTGGTCAGGTACCAGATGTTGGTACTTAATCCAATTTTGAATTTTCAAGCAGTCTATTCCATTGATGTCCGTTTCCTACCTTGGCCTTATAGTGAACGAAAATATAGGAAATATACAAATTTAAGATAGGCTCCGAAACATGACTCGCTGTATTTGAGGTAATTTTTATGGATATGAGCCCAAGATCATACTGAGGTGGCATGATCCAAGACCATTATGCTATTCTAGTCCAATTTGTGAAATATTACATTCACTCTACTCCATTTTATAAAAGAACCCAATGCTAGGACCATTTAGTGGTACCATGCAGCCCATCGTGTGGCGTTTGGGTGCGTTTTGAAAGAATTATATACGTGCTAAAAATATGAGCACAACCATGCCCATTTTCTTGATTGGATCTCATTATCAAGGTTAACGAACAAGCCTTATATTTATTATTTACACTCTATTTTTTTTGTTATTTGCACTATCACTATTTTTTTTATTACATAGTCTAATAAATAAAAATTATATGATTAGAATGATAGTAGGAGTGTGATTAATAAAAATGAATAATCTAATAAATAAATATTATATGATTAGAATGATAGTGGGAGTGTGATAAAAAAAAAAAGAGTGCAAATAACATTTCTCTATTTATTATTGCTATCGATATACCTTTTTTTTTTATCTTTTGAACGGAGAAGAGAACCTGTAGAGGATGGAAATGGCTCAGTTGCTACGTTTCTTCAAAGGAAGTAGGAGTAAGTAACAAACATGAAAAAGGGAAAACTCATGCCCTATCAATTACAATCAAGTATAAAACTATAGAGCCGAATGATACATGCTACAACTGTTTAAATAATGCCTTAATAAGACCAAGAATCTCCAGAACAATTTAAGGTAACACGTACGCTAGGACATTATAAAATCTACAAATTTTGCTTCTTATTAATTTCCCCATTACATTCCTCAAGACACCTAAAAGTGGCTTTACCAATTTGTAGCAGCGCAAAGTTTTTGGCCCAGTCGAGACGTATCAGTTAGTAATTTGGAGATTAGTTGCTTTTAGGCAGGCATTCTTGATCCTTACCTTTTATTTGGAACCGACTAGAGATGTTGTCGAGTCGAGTCGAGTCGAGCTCCAGTAGTACTGAAGAGGTGATTTTTGGCAGGTAATTAGTCCAACCGAAATCAGCTCTCTTGTTGATGTGGTGAGGTGAACTCGATTATCTCACCTCGGGTGGAATGAAGTGAGGTTGCACGTTCGAAGTGGATGGCGGGGCTTCTCCCCTGGTCTCACTCCGACGATCAAGTTAGTATGAGAACGAGAAAAATAGTAGTATATGAGAATGAACAGTGTGCTTACTTGTTAGGAGTACATGAGGGGTATTTATAGAGTGAGAGTGGAGGGCAGGACGGGGGTCTTATGCCGACGGGACCCATGCCCTGCCATTACGGCTCTGCTCCCTGTCAGGTGGCCTGACTTTGACACTGTAGCCGCCTGGACAGGGTGACGAGGAGTCTTACGCAGTAGTCATTAAGTGCGACAGTGCTTTTCAGATAAAGCACTGGTCTCGGGTGATGTCAGGTGGCTTGACATCATCAGCGTGCAGTTGAGGTGGAGGTGCCGAGGTCACCTACACGGTAGACTAGAGATCCGGCCGAGTTTAGGGGATATGCCCAAGACACGGATGAGCTCCGATGAGGGACGAGGTAGGTTCACCTCGGACATGCGGGGTCGCCGAGGTGAGCATCCTCAATAAGCCCCCCAAGCCTCGGGAGCTCCGGGTTAGGGAGGTACCGAGGCTTCCTTGTGCCGAAGTCGTAAAGAGTCGGGGTCCCGAAACTGCTCCGGAAGATGTGGGGACGAGACACGTGGGCTAGTCAGTTGACAGGACGTGGTCACTGGTAACCGTCGCGTCGTGAAGTAGTGGGACGTTTCGTGCAGAGGGTGTCAGTCGAAAGGACGGGGCATTAATGAGGAGAGAGGGAGGCACGGCGTTTTGAATTCGAACGTGGCCGTCTTTTCGCATTCTTGCCGCCTCTTCGGATTCCCCCCAAACCCTTATAAATAGGGGGTCCTTTTCACCGCATGGCCCATCACTTTCTTTCTTTGCCTGCGACTTGCAAAATTTACGAGTGTTGCCGAGGTGAGTCCAGCCCTGCCAGCCGAAATCACAGCCGAAGCCATCCACTTCGTCAGATTCCGTAGTCAACAGTAAGTATTTCTATTTTCATCTCATCATTCACATATGGCCAAAACGGCTAAAACCCATAAGGAGACCGTAAAACCGAGCTACCAGGCCGAGGAGGTGCCTGACACTTCGGAAGAAGCAACTTCATCCAGTTCTGGGGGATCGACGTCCGGTGCTGCGGGGGGTTCAACCGAGGTGGAGATCATCGAGGCAGCCCCGGTGTCAGAGTCATCCGAGATGAGTGAAGTTGGTTCCGAGGTTGTCTTCAATAACGAGCTCGGAGCTCAGATACCCCATGATGAGGGAGTACTGGAGCCAGTAGCTCCGAAAAACGCGGCCAAGATTGACTTCGGCAAGATGCCGAAGTTCAGAAGTCGAGTGGGGGAAGACAGGGCTCAGAAGGTGATAAGAAAGTACCCTTTCAGACCGGGGTACATCATCACCTCGCCCGGACCAGATGACTCAGCCGAGAAGCCCCCCATGGGGACGGTGGCAGTCTACATCCAGCAGCTGGAAGCCGGGCTGAGGATGCCGACGTCGAGGTTCTTCAGGGACACACTTCGTCACTTCGGCATGAGGATTACTCAGCTCGTCCCAAACGCGGTCCGCATTCTCGTAGGATTCGAGATGCTGTGCCGACATCAAGAGGTGACTCCGACTGTGGATCTATTCCGCCGATGCTATACCTTCAAGGCTCATGGGACAGACAAGGGATGGTTCTACGTCTGCAACCGGAACAAAACCATCTCGAAATTAGTCATCGGCGCCCCCACTTCAATAAAAAATTGGAAGCGTGACTTCATCTTCGTCTCGGCCGTGGACTTCCCACGGGATTTTTGGTGGAGGCCCATCAAATCGAAGGCTGACGCCTCCGCGGGGGATCTCGAAGAGGAGTCCTTCCAAAAATTGATGGGGTCTGGACTTCGGATCTTCAGCTGGGACCACCCCGAGGCCGTGCTGGTCGATGGGGGAATTAGCCGAGCTCTACTACCTCCCAACAAGACTCCCTTCTTTTCCATTAAACTTAAAAAACCTTGTAATTTTTCTTTCATGACTTTTTCTTTTACCTCGGCTATAGCAAATGATAATATTTGTTCTTTGTGCAGTGACCAAATTGTCCGACATCATCACGTCGAGCTCAGGTGCCGAGGTGGCAAAGAGATCGAAAAGGAAGAGCTCGGACGAGACATCGGCGCCTCCGCCCAAAAATAAATCGCAAGGGCAGTCTTCTAAGACCTCGGTGGAGAAGACCACCCCCACCACCCCCACCACGGCAGCCCAGAGCAGCTCGGCTGCTGCGGCTACAGGGTCCACTTCTTCAGTTCCGGAAGGGGTGCCATTAGGGGTGACCACGGCACTTCCACCTCCACACGGCCGAGGCAAACAGTTGAAGGCTCCAGTCAACGCGGTGACGGCGTCTTCGCTCTGGAACCGTTACCAAAGCCCCCCAGTGTTTTCTGGGAAAGGAAAATCTCACCCCGGCGAGCATTGATGTCCGGACTGGTCGCTCAAGGTCAACGACCGATGCAGCCACCCTCGGGCTGCACAGGACCTGGTGATGCAGTCCACCCTGCCAAGGGACTTGGAGTTCACAAGGAAGCTGACTCCGGCCGAGATGCTCTAAAGCGTCATGGTGACCACGGCTTCCAACACAGCCTTTGTGGCCGAGATGGCACATCGGTACTGTGAGTTGCTTGAGGAGCAGAACACCGGCAAACTGCAAGATCAGATTGCCAAGTTAAAGAAAAAGCTGGTGGTGTCTGATTCCGAGAAGTCCGAGCTTCAACGACGCCTTCAAGAAGCCGAGACTAAGGAGGAGGAGGCCGAGGCCACTGCCAACAGCCTGAGGTCGGCTCTGGAAGAAGAGCAGAAGAGGTCAGAGGAGGCGAAGAAACCCACGAGCAGGCTCTCGAGAGTGCGAGGATCTCGGCTGTAGAAGATTTCCGGAGGTCCGAGACCTTCCTTGGGGATCTCGGCCAACTGACAAGGCCGAGCTTCATGCTTGGCTTCACGTCGGCTATTGATGAGGCCGCAGCTCATCTACCCTCTGAGGCTTTGGAGTCTTTGAGGAACAGTGCCAACTATAACGAGAACTCCAAGGAGCTGTGTGATCGGATGGCCGAGGGCATCCAAGCCGGAAGGAACTTGGCCGAAATCCAAGATGAGTTCAACAAATGGCTAGCTGAGCTCGACGAGGTCTTTGAAGAGGAAGGAGGAGAAGGAGTTGGGGGCGACGTCGGCGAGGAGGGTGTCGAAGAGCAAGGAGGAGGAGGAGGAGATGCTCACCCCGGCGGGGAAGAAGCCGGGGAGGCAACTGGCCAATAGGGAGCCAAGGCGGAGGCTTAGCTCATAGGGCTTTAAATGTAAATCCGAGGTGAGGAGAGCATTAGCAATACTCCTGACCTCGGTTTTTTATATTCTTCTTGTAATGCCTTTTCTTCATTGAATGAAAGATTTATTTCTTCTCACTTCGGCTCCTTTGATTTCTTGCTTCGTCCCCTATTTGTCCCCCTTATTTTTGAATAACGGATGTGGAGCATCTTGGTATTGAAAAATAACTAAGCGGCTGAAATGATAACTTTGTAAAATTTTCAAGCATAATACAGTCTGAGGTTCTCGGCGTGCCAAGTCCTCGGCACTAGAGTGCCATCTCGGTAACTCAGTTTACAATACCCACTTAGACTAGATTCCACAATTCGGTAAGGGCCTTCCCATTTCGAGCCTAATTTCCCTTGCGGTTCAGCTCGGCTGACCGAGTTTTTTCTAAGCACTAAGTCTCCTGGCAAGAATCGCCGATGTTTGATGCGGGCATTGTAGTAGTGGGCCATGGTGTTTTTGTAGAAAGCTATCCGAGCTGAGGCAAGGTCTCTTTTCTCGTCGATGAGGTCGAGATCCAGCCGCCTCTCTTCTCCGTTCACCTCGACTACATAGGTTGTTAGACGAGGACTGGGTGTGAGGAGCTCCGCAGGGATGACCGCCTCGGCTCCATAGGTCAAGGAGAAAGGGGTCTCTTGCGTGGATGACCTCGGCGTGGTCCGATATGACCACAGAACACTGGGGAGTTCCTCCAACCAAGATGATCCAACTCGGTGTAGTCGGGTCTTGAGTCCATGCAAGAGGGTGCGGTTAAAATTTTCTGCCTGACCATTAGCCTGAGGGTGGCCTACCGAAGTGAAGTGTTGCTTGATGCCGAGGTTCTCGCACCAAGTCTTAAATGGGTTCTCGGCAAATTGTCTCCCATTGTCCGAGATGATTATCTGAGGTATGCCAAAACGACAGATAATGCATTTTCAAAAAAATTTTGGAATGGCCAACCCTGAGATGGTCCGCAGAGGCTCGGCCTCGACCCACTTAGTAAAGTAGTTCACAGCGGTCACCAGAAAGGTATAGCCCCCGACCGCTTTAGGGAATGGACCGATGATGTCTGTCCCCCATTACTCGAACGGCCAGGGTGAGATGATTAGAACCATGAAATTCGAGGGTTGGTGAAGCTCAGGGGCGTGGACTTGGCAGGACGGGCAGCTGAGAACAAGATTTTGAGCATCCTGTCGAACGGAAGGCCAGAAGTACCCAAGAAGTAAGGTCTTCCTGGGTAACATCCTGTGGCCGACGTGAGCCCCACACAGGCCTTCGTGTATCTCACGGAGGACCTGGCGTCCTGCCTCGGGTGTAACGCACCTCAGCCATGGGCCAAGATATGAGCGCTTATACAGTTCTCCATCGCGGAGCGCATACCGAGCAGATTTGCGTTGTATCTTTCTCGCCTCGACTCGGTCCTCGGGGAGGACTCCCTGCCCTAAGAAAAGGATGAACGGACTCATCCATGTTTCTCCCGTGTTCACGGGGCAGGCCACCTCTTCCATGTATGCCGGCTCGCTCAACACTTCAACCAAAACGGTCTTGTTGAGGTCAGAGAATGAGGTGGAAGCCAACCGGGATAAGGCGTCGGCCCGCCTATTCTGGGAGCGGGGGATTCTTTGAATATCGAAAGATTCGAAGTATGCGATGAGTTGGTGGACTTTGGATAGATACCATTGCATGGTTTCATCCTTGGCCTCGTACTCACCAAAGACTTGGCAGACTACAAGTTGGGAGTCACTGCGGACGTGGATCCGCTGAGCACCAAGCCTGCGGGCTAGCTGGAGTCCCGCGATCAAGGCCTCATATTCGGCTTCATTGTTGGTGGTCGGGAAGTCAAAGCGGAGGGCATACGAGCACACTTCTCCCTGGGGGCCCTCCAGGAGCAGTCCCGCCCCACTGCCTTCTCCAATAGAGGATCCGTCCACATACAACGTCCACAAGTGCGAGGTGGACACTTCGGCAATGGCGGAGGTGGATTCTCGACCTTCCGTGAAGGTGAGCTCGGCCAAGAAGTCGGCTAAGGCTTGAGCCTTTATGGCGGTGCGCGGCTCATACGACATGTCGTACTCCCCCAACTCAACGGCCCACTTAGTGAGGCGCCCGGAGGCCTCGGGCCGCACCAGTATCTGTCGGAGAGACTGGTCGGTCCTGACGGAGATGGGATGAGTTAGGAAGTAGGATTTTAGTCGCCGGGCGGCGTGGACTAGTTCTAGCACAAGTTTTTTCACTTGGGTGTATCGAGTATCCGGCCCACGGAGAGCTCCGCTGACATAGTAGACTGGCACTTGAGTGCCCTCATCCCGGATGAGCACAGCGCTGACAGCCTCGTCCGCTGCGGAGAGGTAGACATAGAGCTTCTTCTCGGGCCGAGGTGAAGCGAGGGTGGGTAGGTGATGCAGGTACTGCTTCAGCTTGTCGAAGGCAGCCTGGCACTCCTCAGTCCAGGCGAACTGATCGGTCTTTTTAAGTACCTTGAAAAAGGGCAAAGCTTTTTCTGCGGATTGGGATAGGAAGCGGTTCAGTGCAGCCAGGCGTCCATTCAGCCTCTGGACTTCCCGGAGGTTCCGAGGTGGGGACATGTTCTGGATGGCTTTGACTTTGTCGGGGTTAGCTTCGATTCCTCGGTGGGAACCAGATACCCCAAAAATTTTTCTGAGGTGATACCGAAGACACACTTCTTGGGATTTAACTTCATCCTTGAGTTCCGCAGAACGCCGAAAACCTCCCTTACATCTGATAAGAGGGCCGAAGTGGTTAAATTTTTGACGAGAATATCGTCCACATAGGCCTCCACATTTCGGCCGATCTGATCCTTGAAGAGGCGGTTGATCAAACTTTGATAGGTCGTCCCGGCGTTTTTTAAGCCGAAGGGCATGGTAGTATAGCAGTACACACCTTGGTCGGTGTAGAACGCTGTCTTCTCTTGGTCCTCCTCACTCATTCCTATTTGGTGATAGCCTCTGAAAGTATCAAGGAAGCAGAGGATCTCAAGTCCCATTGCCGAGTTGACGAAGGCGTCAATTCTCGGCAGAGGGTAGCAATCTTTGGGGCAGGCCTTGTTGAGGTCTGTGAAGTCCACACACATCCTCCAACCACCGGTGTCCTTTTTGACCATGACTGGGTTGGACAGCCAGGTAGGGTATTGGACTTCATGAATCATTTTGGCGGGCAAGAGTTTGTCGACCTCATCCGATATGGCCTTGCTACGTTCGGGGCCGAAGTGCCTTCGTTTCTGCCGCACAGGTCGGGCCTGTGGGTTAACGTTGAGTTGATGAATCATGAACTCGGGTGGCACTCCGACCACTTCATCTGCGGACCAAGCGAAGACGTCTCGGTGGTCCTTGATTAGGGAGATCATTTCTTCTTTCAGGGGTGAGGGGAGTCCGGCCCCTACTTGGACCAATTGGTCAGGTTTCGCTTCATCCAAAACCACTTGTTCCACCTCATCCCCGGGCTCAAGCCTCTTGGGCTCTCCTGCCTTCTGAGGGTCGATGCAGTCTATGGAGAGGACCGCTGGCCTCTTTTCTTCTGACTTCGGCGATGGTCGGGATGTGACTGCTGCTTGAATGGTGGCGAGGTAGCATTCCCGGGCGGCGCCCACGTCGCTGCTCACCTCGGCCACCCCCTCATGTGTTGGGAATTTGAAGCTCAGGTGGTAGGTGGAGTATACGGCTCTCAAGGCGTTGAGCGTGGGCTGGCCTATCAGCATGTTGTAGGGAGAGTCTGCTTTGACCACTGCAAAATTGACAGGCACAGTTCGGCAGCGTGGATGACGCCCGATTGTTACCATCAGGGTCACCATGCCCTCCGGGTGGATGACGTGTCCCCCGAATCCAACGAGGGGAGTTCTGACAGGATGAGTTGCTCCCTGGTCAATTTCAAACTCTCGAAGGTTCGGTAGTACAAGACGTCTACCGAGCTTCCGGGGTCAACATAGACCTTTTTGACTATATAATTGTTGGTGAGGACTTCGATCACGAGGGTTTCGTGGTTACTGGAAGCGGCGGGGACGGGGTCAGTGGGACCATAGGTGATGACCTCGGACAACCGAGAGCTCGGCTCGGCCACCTCCATCCCGGCCTGGCGGTAGGTCCGCTTCCGGGAGTTCTGGCTGTCTCCTCCCGCGATGGTGTTGATCACCCCGGCGATGTTTGGGCCGTAGCCCGGTGACCCATCGCGTGGAGGCTGCTTGTCCTCCCTACGGTCTTCGGGACCTCGGCAATGCATGTTCGTGTCCCGTCTATCGTCTCGGCGGGGGCTCCGGTTCTCCCGGTGGGAGACGTTTCGGTTGAAGCCTCCATCCTTGCGGATGAACTGTTTCAGGTACCCCTGCCGGATCAAATTCTCGATCTCCCGCTTCAGATCATTGCAGTTTTCAGTCTCGTGCCCAACATCCCGGTGGTAGGCACAATAGAGGTTGTAGTTCCTCTTATCTCTCCTCCCTGGAATTTCAGGTGGGTTTCGGCCGAGGTGATTCTACCTCATCACAGCCAGGACATGAGTCCGGCTGGAGTTGAGTGGTGTAAGCTCGGCGTCCGAGGTGGACGACCTGCCTTTGACGATCTGATCAAAGACACTTCGGCGGTCTCGGAACTGACCCGACGATCCGCTGGGGCCTTGTTCGGCCCGATTGGCATCCTTTTTCCTCCGGGAATCTTGCCCGGTACGAGTGGCTTGAGCCTCTCGCTTCATGCGATTTAGATCTTCACTTCGGATCCCCTGGTCTACTCGATCCCAGAGTTCCCGAAGCGTGCGGAGGTAATCCCGGTGTATCTCAGTATTGAAGATTCCCGCGATCAGCCCATTGGTGAAGGCAGCTATGGTTACCTGCTCATGCTGATCAGGTATCTGCACGTTCTCCTCATTGAACCTCTGCACGTAGGAGCGCAGTGACTCGCCGGGGGCTTGCTGCAGGTTCAAGAGGTATGCCGAAGTTTTCGTGATCGGACGAGATGATACAAAGCGGTGGATGAACTGATCTATCAACTCATCTAGTGAGGAAATGCTCCTTGGTTCTAAACCCCAAAACCACTTTCGGGCCGTGCCTTGTAGGAAGATGGGGAAAGCTCGGCAAATTACTGCGTCGGGGACGCAATAGAGCCAAAAAGCGGAGAGGAAGGCGCGGAGGTGATCCTCAGGGTCACCTCGGCCATCGTAGGAACGCAGGGCGGGAAGTTTAAAATTTGGGGGGACCATCTCCCCATTGATGTCATCCGTGAAGGGCGGTGCCCTCAGATATTCGGCTGCTAAGCCTCTGGGACGCCGAGGTGGGTCCTCAGCTCGTTTTTCCAGAAGACCCCGGGAAAATGCCCGGGAAATGGTGGCAATTTTAGAAGTCGCCTTGGAAGAGGCGCGCCTGGAATTGCTCCGAGAGAGGTGCCCCTCATCGGAGTCTTCGCCGGAAGGCACTTCAGGGGACTTCGTCGGTCTCCTCTTGGAGGATTCAGCTTTTTCCTTCCCCTGCCTCTTGAAGTACCTCCCCAGTTCTTCAAAAATGTTAGGGTTATCAGCCACGAACTCGGCCATCTTGGCGATGGCGTCTTCGTTGTTGGGCTGGGTCCTTGGGGACCCTTGTTCTTCAGAAATATGATCTTGCTGGGCTCTCGATGTCTGCCCAGCCCCAGTCGAGGGGACTCTTCCACTTCTGGAGCGCGTGGATCTCATTTTAGCAGTAATCTCGTTCCCACAGACGGCGCCAATTGAAGAGGTGATTTTTGGCAGGTAATTAGTCCAACCGAAATCAGCTCTCTTGTTGATGTGGTGAGGTGAACTCGATTATCTCACCTCGGGTAGAATGAAGTGAGGTTGCACGTTCGAAGTGGATGGCGGGGCTTCTCCCCTGGTCTCACTCCGACGATCAAGTTAGTATGAGAACGAGAAAAATAGTAGTATATGAGAATGAACAGTGTGCTTACTTGTTAGGAGTACATGAGGGGTATTTATAGAGTGAGAGTGGAGGGTAGGACGGGGGTCTTATGCCGGCGGGACCCATGCCCTGCCATTACGACTCTGCTCCCTGTCAGGTGGCCTGACTCTGACACTGTAGCCGCCTGGACAGGGTGACGAGGAGTCTTACGCAGTAGTCATTAAGTGCGACAGTGCTTTTCAGATAAAACACTGGTCCCGGGTGATGTCAGGTGGCTTGACATCATCAGCGTGCAGTTGAGGTGGAGGTGCCGAGGTCACCTACACGGTAGACTAGGGATCCGGCCGAGCTTAGGGGATATGCCCAAGACACGGATGAGCTCCGATGAGGGAAGAGGTAGGTTCACCTCGGACATGCGGGGTCGCCGAGGTGAGCATCCTCAAGTACCATACTCGAGCTCGAGCTCGAAGGTTATGAGCACTACTCGAACTTGTGCTCGAGCTCGAACAAGCCCCACACTTCAAACTCGAACTCGACTCAATGTATTTAAAAACAGCTCGAGCTCGGACTCGTATAAAGATTCGAGCTCGAGTATTCAAGCTAAACTCGTAAAATGAGCTCGATTAATGTTTTCAAATTAAGTTCTCTAAAAACAAGAAATAAGAATTCCTATTTTATGAAATTCCTACTTTGCCCACACAAATAAATAAATGTGGTAGAATGGTTCATTGTAAATTTCATAAGTTGCTTATCTGTATTAGTAATTTTATATATATTATATATAATTTTTTTTTTATTTTTTATGAGATACTCGATAGAGCTCGTCGAGCTCTCGAGTATCACATATATAAGACCGAGCTCGACTCGCTAGCTTTATCGAGCAGCTCGAGCTCGAGATCGAGCTTGATCTCGGTCAAGCGAGCTGCTGACCGAGTAGCTCGCGAGCTCGAGTCAAGCTATTCTATTCAACTCCACCCCTAGAACCGACTAAGAAACTGATACGAGGTATCTTCAAGGATAGAATTCACATATATAAGACCGAGCTCGACTCGCTAACTTTATCAAGCAGCTCGAGCTCGAGATCGAGATCGATATCGAGCTCGATCTCGGTCAAGTGAGCTCGAGCTCGAGCTACTAACCGAGTAGCTTGCGAGCTCGAGTCAAGCTATTCGGTTCAACTCCACCCCTAGAATCGACTAAGAAACTGATACGAGGTATCTTCAAGGATAGAATTGCATGGGAGGAAAAGAAATAAATCTGTAAAGAGAGCCCAAAACACGTTCTTAATGTCGTACGTACTATTGTACAAATAATCAATCAATGACTCGAAAATATTTCACAGAATATAAAATAAATTGAAATACATTGACCACCTTAATTTCAGGGCCATGGCAAACACACCATGGCTCCTTTACAACCAAGAAACAGGGGAAGGCAAAGCATTGAAGGGACACAAACTGCTAAAAGAAACAGGAACAAATGAACCAACCATGTGATGTGATTGATAATGTTGTCCTAGGCATTTCATCCTCGGATCCTTGTAGACTTGAGCATATATATCAAGTTAGCGACGAGAGAGGGCAACAGCAGACAACAGGATTAACACAACAAAAATAAGTATTCCACCAAAAGAGCCAATCAAGGAACCCGAAATTCGTTCGCAGAAGGAGTTGAACTGCTGGCAGATGGCAATCCAGTTTGCCCGGCTATTGCCTTTGTGAGCTAGGTACACTATTGCTGCTGCAGCTGATGCTCCTGCGGTCAGAAGCGCCAGCATTCCCTTCAACCAAATTTTGATATGTTAGTTTACATACTGATATATATATATATATATATATATATATATATATATATATATATATATATATATATATATATATCAACACCAGACAAAAAGAAATACTACTACTAATTAGGAATACTTATGCTAGCTGTTCTTTCCCTCTGTAATATATATGATTGGCAATACACATACACACATATACATGTTTATGTATATGCACACATATGTGTATTGCGCGTTGTCAGCGGAGGTAACTAATTAAGTACTACCGCGTCAAAAAATATCAAGACGATTCGACTGGCATGCGCCCTGCTCCTCATGATGTGGAAGATGGATAGTGCCAGAGAAAGAACCAAGTATGCACTCACCACAGAGTTCGCGACCACAAAAAACCTGCATTAAACATCAAGAATTATATTTGTTCAAATCCATACGGATAGTGGGAGCACTTTTTTTTTTATTTTTGGGAAGGGGGGGTTACTGTCGAAGTTGGTCAGGAATCGGGACAACTAACACGATATACTAGTAAATTGAGCACTAGTCCAGGAGTACGTACGTGAACATTGGAAGATCAGTGTATTTGGCCCTAAACCGAATGAACTGTGTGAAAAAGGGGAGTGTCTCATTAGTTGTTCCCATGGCAATGGCACTCCCTAAAGTCGCAATAATCGCGAAAACCCTCAGAAAGAAATCCACCACAGCAGCTCCTCTATTCACTGGACCTGAAGCCGCACCCTTGGCCACTTCACTGCCCATCTCAAGAGCACCACTCCTCATTTTCCTACTAGTACTGGAAAAAGAGAGAGAAAGAAAGGATAATCGCTAAATGAATTTACTGGTAACGAACGTGAAAATGTAGATGATGTTATGTACGTTCTGGGTAGAAGAGGGACGGATGCACGGAAGGAAGTTATACACGAGCGGGGTTGGCTCACCCATGCATCACGTTAAAAAAGGAGTTAATCATAGTGGCCACTTGGCCGGCCCGTGCTTGGTTTACTTACTAAAGTGGACTCTGTCTCATTTACCTGCCCGTATTTGCTCTTCCCCCTTTTTTTTTTGAGCCGGTCCGGAAGCAGTATATCCTCCAGATTCCAACTCCACCAACCTAGCCAGTTTTCCTTCTTAGGAAACTCGGGATCCTGCCCCATTTTGGAACGCGTTCTTGTACATGTGCATGCGATTAACTAAACCACTTTGAATAGCCATCCCAACAAATTCTCTTTCCCTCACAATCATGCAAGACAACCTTTCATGATAAGCTGCCGGACGTTTCATTGAAGCCTTGTAATGGTAATCTGCCAGCCTCGTACCTTTTTCCATATTAGTTAAAGCACTGACTACCTTTCAAAAAAAGAAGAATATTCTCTTCTAGTATATTGAGACTAGGGTGAATTTCAATTTGGCCCTTCAAAGTAGATCAAAGCTTCAATTTATTTTAGCCTCTGAAAGTGAAAATTTTGTTTCGCGTAAGCCCTTCCATCATTTAAATTGCTATTTTAAATATGATTAGAATAGCACTTCACTATCCTTTTTAACTCATTTAAATAGACATTAATTTCTCCAAAGTCCCTAAAAAAATTGGGAGATGTCACTATACTACTAAAGTTGCTTATGCGTTATTAATCAAACTTGAATTGACAGGAGGGCTAGTTTGAAACAAAAAAAAAAGCCAGTTTAGAGGGTTTAATTGGAACTTGCTCACTTTTAGGGGCAGAATCGATACATTGGTCTATTTTGTAAGGGCTAAATTGAAATTCATCCTTCAAGACTACTAGAACACCAAACTAAATGAGAATGTTTACACAACCTTAATTAGCATCGTAATTTCTGATCTTCCTATTTTAGCATTCAATCCATGGGATTTCTACTCTCGAGACCAAAACATGTACAGTCCAACATGTACTCAAAACATGTTCAGCCCAACCTATTGTCCACTTTACTACATGAATGTTTGCACTTGATGGGTCGATGTGGATGTGGGCCAACCGGATTTACGCCATTGTCAGTCTCAGTTCATGAGCAACGACATGTTAGAGTGGTCTTCAGATTTTTCTTGATATTTTAAAAGTTTCCCTTTATTCTTAATTGGAATCTATTCCTTATCCTAATTAGTAGAATAGAGTCCAACCTTCCTTGTCTTTAAAAGCTTGTAATACATGGCCTGGAAAAGGATTGAGTGAAAGTTTCTGCTTCTAATACCTGAATTTAGATTGTTTTAAGTAGGGTGTCGGACTGATGAATTAGCCAATTTCTAAAGTTCAATGGCAGCCTCAAACGAGGAGGAATCACAGAGACTTGTACAAGTTTGCAGCTTCTTGAAGAAGTGATTCAAAGTTTTTTTTAAAAAATAATAATAATTCAGAAAAAGCCTTGCTCCTGTTTTTGAAGATTCACTGGTGGAAACTGAGAATACATGCTGATGATGGTAAGAAGAAGCCAGCATTTGCTGACAACCAGCTATACTTCTCCACTCGACCATCTAATTTATTCCACTTACGAGTCTTGAAAGGAAATCCAACTTTTAAATGATAGTAGAGCAACATCAGCATCTAACGATTCCGTGGCCTTTGGCAGAAAAAGGGCATGATCCTCATCGGGCCTCAGCCCACATTAGAGTTGCATCAAGAAATGACTATCAGCCGTAAAGATTATAAACAAACAGGTTATTGCGGTTACGGAGATGCATGCAAGTTTATGCATGACCGTGGGGGTTATACGTAGAATAAGCTCGCGGGGATGTATACAAGAGGAGTAGGAGGAAACGTTGACAGTGACTATGATGAATTTGCTAGTGATGACTGATGGGGTGCAAAGATGGTTGGGCTGCCTTTTGCTTGTTCCATTAACTGGTGGCATTTGTAAATCCCTTCACTACTGTTTCTAGATAAGCATGAAACTGTCAGCAGAAGAGACCGTATTTGAACTCACGGCCGTGCAGCTTCCAGTATCTGCAGTGTCTTTTTTCTTTTTCTTTCTTCTTTTTGGGTTTTTTTTTTCCCTTTTGGCTGATATTACACGATGAAGCTGCATAGCTGATGCAGGAAGTGAGATTTATGCTACCTTAGGCCCACTACTGAACAGATCAAGACAATAAAAAGAATGCTTCTTATCAAGAAACTAGCCTTGCATCTATCTGAATTTACTGACACAGAGTATACCAGAACTTAAAAATCAAGAAAGCTCAAGTTAGCCTATTCTTAGCGTTCAATCCTTCCTAGGAAATCCAATTCCAGAAAGAAGCTTTGAGAGGAAGCCGCCACTTTTAGTGCTATCATCTTTGTTGACGGAACTGCTGAAATTGCTTATTAATGACCAATGAGTCTCGAAATCAGGCTCCTGGCCACACTGTTGCATTGCTTTTAAGAGTTGTGATGCTTTCCCAAGGTTATTTTCAGATCGATACTTATTGATCACAGCAGAATACATCTCCCTGCTTGGAGTTTCACCTCTCTGAACCATGACATGAAGTAGCCTTTCTGCTTCGACAACTCGTCCGGCTTCACTGAAGCTGCTGACAAGAGCATTCCAAGTCTTGCTGCTTGGAATTAGGTTTCTGCACAACATCTCACTGTGGTAATCCAGAGCTGTATCCAACTTGTGATTTACGCAGCAACTGAGGACGAGATAGTCAAAACTGGTAGAATCAAGAATACTTCCATTCTTTATCATTATATTCAGAAGATCACTAGCCTTTTCCAGTTCTCCATGCTGACAGAGCCGCTTTATTATATAATCATAGTTGATACTTTTGGGGATGAGACCTTTTAATGCCATCCTGTCCAAAAACTTCACTGCTCCTCGAAGGTTACCGGTTCTAAGGAAGGCCTCGACTATATTAAGTTGAATAACTGAACCATGAATCCAACCTCTCAATTCCATTTCTTGACTAAGTTGCAAGGCTTTTCCCAGCTCTCCAAGGCAACAAAGGATGCACGTCACGTTTCTCAGAGCACGATTACTTGGTCTAAAACCTTGTGTAATCATAGTTTCAAGATACCTCAAAGAACGAGGCACATCATAAGATGCGCCTTTAACAATGGAATTGTAAGTTACCGCATCAAATTGCAATCCTTTACTCTGAATCCCATCAACTATTGTGTCCACAACTCTAGTAGTGTTTTGCACTAATGATAAGTGAAATAGCAAAATATTATATGTAGCAATCTGGGAAAGGCTGTTTTCTTTAAGCATAAGCTCTTTTAAGCTCAATGCAGAAGAAAACTTGCCTGCTGCACAAGCCAGTTGCACCAAATTGCAATAAGTAGATGTTGACATGCCTACTTTCTTTCTTATCATGACACCAAGAAGCTCTCCCACTTTCTTCAAGTCATTAACTTGATAATACCCCTGAAGAAGCATATTATAAACTTCCTTGTCCAGAAGTTGCCTCTTCAGTGACATCTCCTCAAGTAAATGGAAAGCTTCTACCAACCTCCCCACCTTGCAAAGTCCATTGATCAAAGCATGGTAGACAGAAAGCTGAGCAGAAGATTGTTTTTTGATGCATATATCTTTCAGCAAAACAGCTTTCTCCAAGTTACCAGCCTTACAGAGCTGAGGAATTAACTGAAGGGATACGTCCAAGCAAGGATCAAACTTCTTGGCAACCATGGCATCCACTAGCAGAGAAGCTTCAGCAAGCCTTTTCTCTCTACAAAATCCGCTAAGGAGATGGTTGTAAACCACATCATCCAAGACAAGGCCCCGCTCCAAGAGTTCCTTTGCCAATACATCAGCAATATTGGTGAAACCTCTACAGCACAGCTTTTCAATGAGCGCGTTACAAGCATCCAATGGTTTGCAACGGAATCCCATTAGGATGGCTTCAAGCAGTTCCACAGCCTCTTTCAGTAGTTTTGGTTGGCATAAGCAATTTAGAAGGTCCTTACCGTCCTTCAAGGCAGGAAGCCAGATGCTGTTATGTGCAACCTCCCAGCAGAGTTGGAAGCTTCTCAAATTTGCTCTTTTGCACAGGCTTATCAGAAGAGCACTATATGTTTCATTCTCAATTTCTAACTTCATTCGTATCATGTTATCAAATATCAATTTTGCCCAGCATGTACATCCCCTTCTGCTATACTTCTGAACAAGCTTGTTTAATGCTCCCTGATCAAGTTGATAAATCAAGTAAGGCAGTTTCTCCAGGACACTGTTAATCATCTTAATATTTATATGGGATCCAGAAAGCCTCTTGATTAATATTGATGCAGAAGAGGTAGATAATACTTGGCCCCATTGAGACATTTCATCCACCATCTTCACCGCAACTTTAATATCACCATCCATACAATTCTTCAACACAAGGGAATTGAAATCTGGAATCATGGCATCATGAAGAACATTAACCATTATTTTGTCAAACTCATGAAGATCCGTCTCCAAATAAAGTCCATTCCCAAGATCATCAAAAAACTCAGTCGTTGAAAACTGCATATCATTGTCCCTTCTAACCTTTATGGCCAGTGAATTAATCCCCAGCGAGGTTAATGCCATAGACAGGTGATCTTCGGGCAATGAGAGTCGAATCAAGCCACGACCTGCCATCTCACCAACTATGGCCTTCACTTGACCAAATTGTCTCGCTTTTAACAATCCTGACAACAGAACCCTGAATGTTGATAACTTGGGCATCACTCCCCAATCATTCATCTCTACAAGAACATCCAGTGATTGCTTCCACAGGCCCTCCATGAAGAGGGCACTCATAAGAGCATTGCAGGTATTTACGTCAGGCTTGAGGTTTCTGGACAGCATCTCTGAGAGAAAAATGAAGGCATTCTTCACACTCCCTTCAAAAGAAGTCTGACCAATCAGAATTCCAAAGGTTATTTCATTTGGAGAAAATCCTAACTGCTCCAATTCTTGCATGAATTCATTTGCTCTCTCGGCACCAAAGCTTCTACTCAAAGAACATATGACCTTGTTGCCTACTGCAACATCAGGCACTCCCCTAGTTTCAATAAGAAAACTCAGTATGTCCTCATAGTCCTTTTTCTCGCAATATCCATTAACAATAGCATCAAGAACAGCATTAGTAGGTTCGATTCCAAAAGCTAAAATGCTCTTGACAAGATTCCTGGCTTCTTGAACCCTTCCTTCTATGCACAGAAGACGTGCAACATTCTCACAAATGCGCTTTTCTCCTGCGCTTCTTTCCATCCACACCTTGATCATATCCACATAAGCTTCATACGCCAAGTGGGTTTCATTGATTTGAACCAAAGAGTCAAGAAGTGATCGGTAACATGAAAAGGATGGGGATAAACCTAGCCTTCTCATTCGATCATAATTCAACAAAGCCCTCTCCAAGTCACAATCCGCTAAATACCCTTCAATCAAGTGACTGAAGATTTCATGATAGCCCAAGAAAATTGCTTCACTATCCAACCTGGAAAGCAAGCACTCAGCTTCACTAAACAACCCCACCCGCACAAGCATTTTGGCCATAATCTTGCAGGACTGAGGAAGATGCTGAAAGTCCGAGGTCTGTTCACCAGCCCACTTATAAACTCCCCATAAAGATTCAATCTTTTTATGCTCAATGTCAAATATCCCACTATCAGATTCAAAACCCAGTAATATGTCAAGAACATCTTGAGGTCTCAAAGCAGAAACCCTCCAAAACCTCCGAATACTTTCAGGAGATATATTAGACAGTCTCAAAAAGTAATCTTTTAAAGAAAGATTGACTGAAGGCTCACCTTTATTCTTATTGCTATCCCAAATATTTGTAGACTTTGATATGACTGATCTTGCAATGCTACGGAAGTTAATTGAGGGCAACCCTTCATTGGATTCGTTTGTTTGAATCAAAGAAGGTGATAAAGATAGTTCTGGGGACTCAACGCAAGTTGTAAAGTAGCAAAAGACAGAGACCTGGGAGAGAGATTGAAGTCGGACCTGCTTGGCGGGAGGTTTGTTTAGCTGGGAGCTGAAGAGCGTTTGAAGCATTCGCTTGCTGTGCAATGATATGGGTCTTCTTCTCATCAATGTTCATTGTTGGATTTTGCCTGGAAATCTTTTCTTCCTGGTTTATTGTTTAATTTGGTGTCTGCAAAGGTAGAGAAGACGAGGTTGTTTATGAGGTTAGTGTGGGCCTTTTAAATGGACTTCGGAAGTTGTTGGACATACTTCGTTGAATGTCGTTGCCTGAACAATGGGCTCAGATCCAGGTATCAACGCTTAAAACTGATCTTGCAGTTTAGACCATGAAAAGATCGTACGAGCAAAGGGCCCGAAAGCAGAAACTGAAAGGATTCACTTTATATGTACAAGGGAAAATTTCAGAAACCTCCCTTGAGATTTCTAACAATTTCACTCGGCTGCCCTCAGGTTTTAAAAATTATACTTACCTCCCTTAGAATAGTAAAATACCTATAATGTCCACCACTTGGTAGACAATTTTAAATTTAAGGCAATAAATTTACAAAATCCAAAAAAATTCTATTTTCCTGTCTCTTATCTATTTTCGCTTCTCTCTTTTCTCATTGATATAACATCTTTTTATTATTTTTAATTTTGTTAATATTAGCAAATTGAAATTTACAAAAGCAATAGAGAGCAGATTATGTGTCAAATTAGAAAGAAATGAAGAGACTCACAGTGATAGAGAAATAAATAATAAAATTGATGATTGAAATAGGAAGAAGAACTAAAGATGTGAAAATAGTCATATTTTATTTGTTGTCAAAAAAACTTTAATAAAATGTCAATAATTACATATGGATTTCTTTCATTGGATTAGATTTTTTTATTAAGATTTTATTATGGAGGTAGAATTTATTCTCTACTTTTGAGATATTAATATTTTTAAAACCATAGGAGGGTTGTAATGACAGTTTTGGATCAGATTAGCTTGTATTGAAAAGGTATTTGAATATTGATATTTAATTTTTGGTACAACCAATTGTCAATTGGGTTTGTGTGTGTGTTTTCCTTTTTTTTTTTAGTGGCAAGTATTAATATTTTATATGTAATTTAGAATTTTTTGAACGGCTACTTGATTTTAGAACTTATGATTGGATAGTTGTTAAGGATTAAGTTTGTTAATTTATATAAAGTGTGGAAGAAAATAATTGAGTATACTATATTTTTCTTTCTTAATTATGTACAAAAGGGTAATTTAGAATTTTTGTGAAAAAATCTATCTTGTTGGACCTACATTGTTACTAAATATTAAAAATATGGGAGATATATGTAATTTTTAAAACCTAAGAAGAACTCTTTGTAATTGTTAAAAACCTCAGTGGAGGTTTGTGAAATTATCCCTATGTACAAAGTACTAAGGTTGATGTCAAAAAGCAGTGTACTGCTTCCCGTGGCTTAAGAAGGAATAGTAAAATGCCCGCATTTTCTTTTTCAATCTAGAGGGCCTAATGAGAATCATGAAAAGATTTACGTGTTAAATGCCTTAGGAGTAGACTTTGCTCCGTGGAAGTAAATAAAATCCTTGATCAGCTCTGGGGTAGATCAGCAGAAAATTTGAAAACGAAAGAAGGACAAAAATTAATGATGATGAATGGTCAAAACAAGGATGAAGAAATAATAATCCTACTTTAAGAGGAAATGAATAATTAAAAGGTTGCGGTTTGCCAAGAGACCAAAGCAATTAATCCAGATTCATCATCTCAAGGAGTTGACTTTTGGGGTTCGCCTGTGAGAATTGAGATTAGTCTCACCATTATAGGACCGGCAGGCAGGCAAACTCGTGTGTGGTAGAGTAAACGGGGAGTATTTTGTAGACTTGTTTCATCGTGGGACCTGTGGCTCAGAGGGAGGGGAAAACAAAGAGCAGAACTGAAGGGCCAAGAAAATGAATCCAAACACAAGTTCCCTCCTGATTGGGATTGTTGGTGCAGCCATCACTCTGTCTGCCTACTCGCAGACTCTCATCTCTCCCACGCAGTGCATCACAGTTGGCCTCTTCGTTCTCATCTTTGGTCTTCTTGTTAAGGAAGGTCTCATCTCTATTTGACGCTTTTCTTCATTCAAACTTATATCCGGCCTTATATTTTGTAAAGTAGTGAATTGGAATTAAGATGGAATTCAACCCTTCCCCTAATTTGTACTTTTTGAAGTGCTATTTCCCTGCGTTTGTTTATGCAGTACTCTTGAGCTCCTTGTTTGATGCATCATGCAAGATTACTATCATGTTTTTTTGCCTCTTTGATTTGTACTCTCTCGTTTGACAATGATATGTGGGATCTTTCCTGAATCATCTTTAGCCTCCTCTTGCAGATAAAGCGATTACATTAATGTTCAGTGGCAATCATCTGCCTTTTAAGGGGAAAAAAAGTCTTCTTTTATTATTATTTTTTTTACCCTTTTAGCTATTATTATTAGTTAAGAGACAAAATGTGCCAATCGGAAGAGGGCCTGTTTAGGGATCTCTACCAGTTCAATCGTTATGCTTTGATCATGTCTTGCTTTGTCTTTGGGCTGAATTTCGTGAGTTATTAGGAATGCTCTGAAAAAGAATGTGTCTATGTCCTACTTAGAAGTTGCGATTGTAAAGCTACATGATAGTTTTGAGGCTACAACCACCCGCATAAGTTTGTAGAACGCATTCAAGCAAGAGAACATCAATTTTGTACACTTTTTTCAATTAGACCGAGCTTGGCCAACTTCTTCGAAGGAAGCAAAATCACAGGTTCGCCATTTTCCTGAAAACATGTCAGATCAATAAAGAAACACCATATTATTGCCAAGAAGTAAATTACAAAAGCTGATGATATTTCCGAGCACAAGGAGTCGTGAAGAGGGAAGGTGGGAATGTACAATTACTGCATTTCTACCTGGAAAATTGGCATAAAATTTCTCAAATGCTCTGGAACTGGAAGGCCAGCATGATCCCGATCAGTTATGTATGGCAGAAGTGAAATGCTTTGGGCAAAAATATTCGGGTAACTAACGAAGCAAAAGTCCAACTAAACATTTCACGATTCAGAAGAACTCGTGGAAACGCATTTCTGGCTGAGTCCTGAGTGATCCGTAAGAGCTGATGGCACTTCATTTTGTCATCAAAACTCTAGCATGAGAAAAAGAGGCAAAGATGTAGCCAATAACAACTTGCCGGATGTTAGTACTAACACTGTGTATAAACAAGCTCACCGGCAAGTCATCCTTGGCTGCATCCCCACGACCTCGTTTCCTCATGCAAGACCTTAGATGATGATAGTATCAAATTAACCCAAAATGTAATTCGACCACGTCATAAACTATGTGGTAAAAAAAAAATTTTTGCCAGACAAACATTTTTTTGTCTCTAGGGAACATTAACTCTAGGCAGTCCATCCAATCCCAACAAAGCATACACATCTCTCTCAAGTAGCACTAAAGTAATGATTGGAGGACTTTCCCGAAGAAGAAATTAACATTCTCTGCTGCAAATTGCAAAATGAAGCAAGGGGTTTCCTTATTCAACCTAGCAAATAACAAGCGAGCATGATTGCACCAAAAACAGGGAATCCACGCATGCATGCTTGCTTTAGAAGACAGAAGCCGATTGGGCTAGAAAACCCACTTGAGACCAGAGCATAGAAGAGGAATGGGGGCTTGAAGTTGAAGCAAGAGGTGGCTAGCTTTCTGGAGCTGTTTATAAAGAAATTGACTCTTGTCATGAAAATGGCAATCTATTTCCCCCACCATTATGATAGCTTCTTTAACGCCATTCATAGCCTTGGCCAGTGATGGTCATGCATTGCCAGTGAATTACTACTTATTATGACGAATTCTTTCCCTCGCACAAAAACAGGCTTTGAACGGTCCTACTCGTTCATTGTCCGATGTAGAAAGAAAAGTTCAGGGAGATGATAAGGTTAGATGTGACCATCCACTGTTTCTATCAGCAACATAAATATTTCGTGAAGAGCTTTCCCTCTCAAATGTGTACGGACTTCTCGGTAGAACTGATGAGGGATTTGCTTGGTAATCAAAGCGCTGTCAGCATTCAGATCCGCTTCTGAACCTGCACGGATTCTGGGGCTCAGATTAGGTGAGTGAATTAACTTCAAGTGCTACTTCAAAAGATGTATCGGGGTAACTCTAAGTTCTGATATTTCTCCAGCAGTGAAATTTTTACCATTATACATAGAACTGATCACATTCTTGATTCTTCCACTGCCTCTGTGAGACAAAAAGATCGTCATATTAAGTTTCTAACACGGTTGAAATCCGCGAACTAAAACCAAAGATAAAGCGGCCAACAAGGTCATGCCAATTTCTTTGTTTAAGGAGGACTCTCTTTCTGGTAGCAGTGAACTAGTGATAATGATTAGATCTTTCTGATCATTGATAAGTTGGCATCTTTTTCTCGTGAAATCACCGTACGCTCTTCTCTTCGTGTTAATTAGTACTATATGAAAACAGCAACTAAGGATTTCCCCTTTCCTCTGTTGTATGGATAAAAAGTTTCCAAAAACCAAACACATACATGCCTAAATGTTTGTCCCCAAAAAAAGAAAAAAAAAACGCGCGCACACACACACAGATGTGCATAAAGGAAGTCATTTTCATTTTAGTTTCTGATTTAAAAGGGTTAAGACATCCAACCAAGATAAGGACATTGTGCAAGATAGCTCATAGCCTAAGGCGAACAGCCCGACTTCTGACAATCTCATTGAAGCAAAGACGCGCTTAAGGAGACAAATCACGAAACATACACCAACTTATTTGGTAGACGAAAGGAGGCGCAGGAATTCGGGCGAATCTCGCCATTTAATTTAGTTTGTCGCGAGTTTATTGGCTTCAGAGCTTGATTCCATTACCTAGATTTTGATGAAAACTAAAGACCCGTTTTTGTAGGAAACTAAACATTTTGAAAAGCCATATTTTCTTCCAAAAAAGTTTCTACATTTTTTATGAATACATTTTTCAATCACTTTTTTACTTCTACATTATATTTTTTTACGAAAACTCCAAAAAAAAAATTGCAACCCAAACGGAAAAGCCATTCACAATTGACATCTCAGGGCAGAAGTTCTCCATCTTTTTTTTTCCCAGAAAAATGAGCTGAGAGCTTCAGCCCATAACTCTGAAGTCTGGCTGCAGAAAATCAACAAGGACCGGACCTTAGTTATAACGAGAGAACCGCAAAAGAGCTTTTTACAACTGCAACACAATCAAAGAATTCTTCCAACTGGCCATTCCCGATCACCAGATGCAAAACTGGCAGCATATCCATGATGGCCCTATCATTCTTGTCAACCTCATTTGCCTCAAACCTACGGGACTTACCATTGACACCAAGCATGCAATGTTCTTCAATGAATGTCACTTGCGAAGACGGACACATTAGAAGAAAGCTAAGAACTTCAAAGTGCACTAGTGAAGACAACCATGGCGCTAAAACATGCAGCCCTACTCACGTGAGAAGCCAATGCATTGGCTCTTATACAAGAGAATACTTTCATAATTCCCAACTTGCCTTAAACAAGAAGATAGAAAGTATCTAAAATCTAGCAAAATAGAGATTACAGGCTTCTATACAACAGCATTACCAAGAGAAACGCGTTCCAAAAGGGTCGATAAGTTCCGCCCCTTCTCAATTATAATCCACAGCAATAACATATCAAAAGCTACCTCAAGAGGGGAACCCCCAAGCCCCCCAAAAAAATAAAAATAAAAAAGTAAAAAAAAACTCTCTTAAAAGGACTATCACTTTGAGTTTTCCAGGAGGAGATCATTCGAAGCAATATGACGCTTCAAGCATCTCTGCAGTTGGAGAAGGAACATGTTTTCCTTTTGGCCTCAGGGAACTCCCCAAGGTGGTGGGTATCACAACAAGAATATGATAACAATGGCGAAACCACAAACTAGATTATTTAGATGATAGTAAACACAATTAAGATCTTGATCAGTGATGCATATGTACTACTCCAGAAACACTAGAGATGTGACTTGTTAGTCTTTGTAAATTTTCTACTCCCTACTATCGTGGTAACCCTCACAGAGTTGAGCAAATATGACTAAACCCATTGATACACAGAAAGCTGTAAAACTCCCCCCCCCCCCCAAACAACACCACAAAAAAAAATTATAGTGAAAAACATGACCAGAGTTTTTTAAGCCCCTTAAAATGCAAACATTTGTATTTGGCTTTCCTTTTTACTTCAATATTTTCCTTTTTACCACTTCTCTAAGCAGCTTTGTGGATTAAGTGATACAGAACAAGACTTTGAGAGGTTGCTGGTATAGTGGAGAAGCTATGCTCATGCATACAATCCAAGGGAAGTTTTAAGGGGTGCCAATTGTGAGGAAAGAAAATGGGACACAGTTACAAAACAAATAAAACTAAACTAAAAGCAAAATGCCAAGAATTTATGGGGCATCTTTACCTTCAAACATTAAAAATTTAGGTGCAGTGATTATCAAAAAATGTTCTAACAGGTAAACTTTCACACTTTCCTAATCTCAGTTCACTTAAATATACACTGATTGAGTTTATTAATATTACATATCTTCTTTGAGCTTCGACCAATGAAACCATAGGAATATCTAATTACCTTATCGCTTTCAACATTTAATAATACCTCATTCTCCCACAACTACAGATTTAAGACTCAATGAAAACAATTAAAGAAAGCAAGATATACAAGGAGGTATAAGAGTTACCTGTCATTTTCACAAGGAAATATTTCATCTGACCTGCCAAATGCAGTAAAGACTTAGAACTTCCAAACTAAACCTGAAATTGCTTTCAAATCTTTGCAATATTTCAAGAAATATAGAACCTACCACCAGCTTCATGAAAATCCACTTTTCAATCAGTTATCAAAAAAAGCCTTCAAAGCCGTGCATTCAACTTGCAAACAGGTCAGGATGTGCATTCTGATAGCTAGAGATGTGAGCACCTTTAGCAGAACAATAATTCAATTTCCAGACAATTACATTTAGAAACAATGACCATTAGAACATGCACAATGGTAGCAATATAATCATTAAGTCATGTAATAGCTTGCACAATCCAACGAAAGTTCAAGGAAAAAAGCTTTCATCTGAATGAGTCAATGTCCAATTTTCAGGTTTAGAGGACAGTTGGAATAATGAACAAACACATAATAACCCAGAGACATAAAAGTCTAAGAAAATCAAAATAGCAGCCTCGCAAAGTTTTCAACAACTTGAGATTATTAACCCAGACAACAGCTATTCAATAAATAGATAAAATCAACAATAAATGCCCCAAACACGCAGTTGATACTAAGAAATTGTATCATCTTATACAACAAAAAGGACAACTAAGAATGGACAATGGCAAGCTGGCTACACAGGTTCTTGGAAGCAGAATAGTTTAAGCTGGTAGACTATTTTGTCGGGAGTCGGGACATGGCAATTTCAGTTGTAGGTAAGATCTTCAGATATTGAAGCATCAGGGTTGGCCATGAGTTTTCCAAGCCGTGATTCATCTGGTCTTCAGGTTTAGGCAGAGGCTGGCTTCAGAATTCAGGCTTCAGTTATCTCAGCTGTTTTGTTGGGAAGGGAAAGTAAACAAAGGGAAAAGAAGATTATCAGTTATTCAAATGGGAGTTAGGCTACTTATCATAATGAAATAAATGGGAGATAGGATGGGCCAGGATAGCAGATTTTCATAATCCTACAATTGATTGGTGCTCAAAAAATTGCTGATTAAACTGAAGGTGGACCCAAAAAGAAAACCCAGATCTACCTGCATGGTCTATGAAACTTTAGTAAAAACTTTTCCTCCTGGAAACAGGGTTCTGCCCAGATAACCTGGCAATAGAAGCCAATAATTAAGGACAAAAATCATCCACATAATCAGATGATCGACAATGGATTTCCAGACTTCAATGCATGAAAGATAAGACTGCATGTTAAAAATGATATTCACCAAGCATATGAACCTCTTAAATAGCCATACTCATTTCATTAAAATCTGATGTCAAAAGACATCAAGTGAAAACAGATGGGATCCGTTTTGTTATTCTAAGCGGTTTTTCTATTTTGGGAAGCCGACCCTTACCCAGAACCAGCAGACCGTCCCGAAGAATATCCACCATAGGCTCCATAACCTGTTCCACTCGCACCGCCCTGCAAACAGCAAGCAAAGAGTTTCACTTGCCTCAATAAAAAATTAGACTATTAACCTGAGATAAAACTAAAAAGTATAATACTTACTTGGAGACTAGCATAATTTCCATATCCATCAAGAGGTTGCATATCACTAGAACTACCATAACCTGCTGAATAAGAATGTCCACGGCCATGCCTTTTCGCATCTCTGTTTTCATATCTAACACTATCTGAACCATCTGTTGACATGGGAACATAAGGTAGAACAGGTACAAATGCAGATACAGCACCCTCTCTTTCAAAGAGATTTGCCCTCAACCGAGAAGTAACTTGTATAAGTGCATCCTTTGCAGTATCAAGATCTCCCGATATCTGCGAGAATATATAGCATAAAAGTAAACAAAACGAAAAATAAAAATTGCAGGTGTACTCTTCACTGTCATAAGAGATGGTCAATTTTCTTCAGAATTCACATACGGCAGAGTGAACAATCTGCTAACTTCAAAACTAAAGAGTTTCAATAACTCACTAGTATCTGCTATTGGATGACTACCAAAAAGGCCTGAACTGACCCATAAAGCAAATCGGCTAATTTCAAAATCAAATTTCTGAATAGCTATACCAGAGCATTCACGTGCCACATAAAATCTTTACCTGCACCATCTCATCATCCTCCGCTGCAACTTTGGGAAGGTTATCCTTGGTCAGTACACGAATATTAGCTTTTGTGATTTTCCTCATGTCAGTAATTATTGAACCTCCTTTTCCAATAAGGCAGCCAATTCGAGAGGTTGGCACAAGTAACCGCGTAGTGTATGAAATAAGACCAGAATCTCTTTCAACTTTCTCACTGCACCTAGGTTGCAAACGTAATGCTGCATCAATTGTTGGAGAGAATGTATCCTCGAAGAACTGATAGGAAATGATAGAAAAGCTCAAGATTAGTATATTTTTTCATACCTACATTCAGAATTATCGAAATCGAAGAAGGGAGAATAACAACTACCTCTTTGGCTGAAATTGATATTACACAATCATCTCCCTCAGCAGCTGAACTGTCAACTTTTATGCCTGCCCCAGATTCTTGTCTGATTTGATTGATAATGGTACCACCCTTGCCAATCACACCACCAATATTTGCAGTTGGGCATACCAATCTAAGAGAAAATTCCTTCGAAGATGAGTCGTCTCTTGGAGCAGAGTAAAATGACCGAGACCAGTCCCCACTCTCCGTCTTGTATCCCCCATAGGGTCCCACCAATGGGGTTAATCCCATTACTGGAGCAGCAGCAGTAGCACCCATAAGTGACCCACCAGATGGGTATGCATTTGGAACAGCTGATGCAAGCAAATGCTGAGATCGGGATGGATTATCATGAAGGCGAGATGCAATCTGATAAAGAGCCTTCCTTACCACAGGGGCTTCGCCAGTTATCTGAATCCACAAGAAAAGGTCAGAAAAACCCTTGAGTGGTCTTCCAACTCAAGTATAACCATGAGATCCAGAAATTCAAAAAGATAAAATGATACCACCGAATATATTGAAATTCAAACTGACAAAAAACTAATTCTGATCAAAATCGATCGACAATGTGCAACATCCTGACCGCTCTCCCTCTCTACAAGGGGGTCAGTAGGAAATAGAGAAATAATATGCCTCAAGGATTTCAGGTTTTGAAAACTCAATTCTTTTGAACAAACCCCCCCCCCCCAACCAAAAAAAACCAAAAAAAAATGAAGCTGTTTTCTCAATAAGAAGAAGGAAGCCAGTGGCTTTTAGACCTCTTCAATACTTTTTTTTTTGGGAAGGGGTTAGGGTGGGTGGGAAACTTAAGAAGACTGAATTCCTCACCTGCACAAGTTCATCAGAGCTCAACGCACAGGCAGGCAAATGATCATCCTTTAATATGCGAATCTGTGCCCCGGTATCACTGCGGATGCTTTGTACAATTTGTCCCCCCTTCCCAATTATGCATCCAATTTGGTCAGATGGAACTAGAAGCTTGACAACTACTTGTGCAGTTTCTTCCCTGTCATCATCACTGGCTGTTTCGTCAGTGACAATTTTTTCATGAACCTTAAAGAGAGCATCCTGTGCTGGACAAACACGCTCCTCAGAACCATCAAAATCATTAGTTTCCTCGCTGGAACTGTATATAGTGACAACTCGTTCTTCGCATCCTGGAACTGTTTCACCAATTCTTATCTTTGATCTAGTGTCTGCCCTTAGTTGCTTAACAATCTCCCCACCCCTCCCAATAATACTCCCAATTTTTTTGGCAGGGCACAAGTAGCGGTACACGGTATCATCAGACCCAACAGAGAACGTGTCCTTATCAGCACCAGAATTCCTCCTTTTATTTCCTCCATTATCAGAATAGTCATGAGAACGCTTCCCGTAGCTGTTCCTTTGTCCAGCCATCCTGAAAAAATGACCAAAAGTTGTAATCAGTTCATTGTTAAACACAGAACGTACATCAATATATAGAAAATAGGCAACTCTTCCACGTGATAGGCATTAACCTAACCCAAAAACCTTTAAAAAGGTATTTAAAACTGGTTGCACCGTCTGGATATCTACCATTTATCAGTCGGTAAACCAACTTAACATACTCTCTACAAAAGGTCTACTACCTGGTACGCTCCTACTGTTAAAAAGGATGAGAAAGATAAAAAGTCAAATGTGTAACAACCAACTCAAACTCGCAAGCAATTTCCAGCAGTAAGCATGTAGGCTGCAGCTAAAACGCAAATTTACCGATTTTCTTTTTGAAACAAAACCAAGCCAAAAAGAAAAAAGAAATCCCTCTGACAATATATAGGATTTAACGATAATTCTTATTCTCGTCGCGCCTTTTGAAGAAGAAGAACAAGAAGAAACAGACGGAGAAAAATAAAAGATAGAGAACCAAGTATACGTTTATGCTTAGCAGTAAATTATTCACGGCTATACAAAATAATTGAAAAACAAAAAAAAGCGCAGGACGAATATTCCCAATACAAAAGAAAAGCTAGATCTAAGAATCAAAACGCAAGGGAATCACTACCATATTTACCTAGAATATGAGTAATCAGTCTCTTTCAATTGTTCTTAGATGTTGCTATTATCAAAGAAGGGGGATGAAAATCACACAACAGACCAAATCAACGGCATGAACAGACAGGAGGAAAATAAATTGACAATATTTATCTAAATTGAATTCTACCTTGCCAACAAATGCGGAGACCTGTGATTTATATTTTTTTTTATCAGAAAGAAAGAGAGGATTAGGTATCTGAGTTGCGTCAAGTAGGGAGCCTGGAGTTGGATTTGTTCTGCTGTTTGTGCAGCAGGCAGGAACACTAATAAGTTGCAGCTGGTTCGCACCAGTCTTTTTTAGGGTTTTGGACTCCGACGTTCGATTATAACGTCAAGTGACTGAACCGGCTACGTAGGAGTAATTTAGAACTAGCAAAGTTGGCTGCAGACCCGGCCCGAGGTGAAATCAATGAGCATGGGGCCCATGGTCTCCATAAGTAAGCCTGAGCCGTCTCTCGTGAGTGACACGCCAAACAAAAAAAAAAGGAAAGATTAAAAAATATAGATTTATGACGCGAGCAAAAAAATAAAAATCTTTTTTAATGTAAATAACAAACCACATTTCCAAACAAACCCCCTAATTCATGAGAAAATTACAAAGTCACAGCAATAATCCGAGTTCCACTTCAGTAGCAATGTCGCAAAATATAACCTCCCTAAGATAGCACCATATAAGTATGTAAGAAATTGACAAAAATCAAATTGAATATGATGGTCAAGTATTGAGTTTTTGTAGTATAATGACCCAATTTCTAACATACTTGAGTCCTACACATATTCACCTTTACTTATTTATTTGGTAGCAAACATAAAAATATTGAGAAGAAGAGAGAGAGCTCGATGTGTTATTGTAGTAGCGGTTATAAGAGCATCATCGCGAAAGATAAAATATAATAAGAGGAATTTTTTGCCGTCAATAGATTAGAGATTTGCCCAATTTGAAACCTATTTCTATTATAAGTCGAATGAGAACCGCGACTACACAAAACTAGAGGTGATAAGAAAAACAAAATCTATTGGTTTGTTTGGATTGTAAGTTATTTGGGATTTTTTTACTGTAGCACTTTTTGTGATGTGATGTATGTGAGATAAAAAGGTAATTGAGAAAATAAAAAGGTGTATTGGAAATTGTAATGATGATGTAAGCAAATAAAACTGGGTAAATAATGCTCAATCCAAACTAGTGTTGTACAAGTGGGAGGAGTATTTATTAATTCAATTAATAACAAATGTCAGTAGATTAACTAAAACTTCATTAGGAGTGCAAATATTATTTACCTGGACATATAAAACAAATTGGCCTTATATAATAAAACATGACAAAATAAATTGGCCTAAAAAATGAAATATTGAAAAAGGAGACAATCATAAAACCAGAAAGAGAGTAAAAAAAAAGTTAACAACATTTGCCTCTTTTAAGATGTAACCATGTAACCAAATGAACCATGCGCTTTAGTCAAATAATAGTCAACATCTTTCATTGTCAAAAGCTGTATCACATTCCCCCTTGCCATCTCGAGACATTAAAAAGACATTAAGAATAGATGAAAAAGAAAAACCGTTTGGATTGGCTATTTTTTAAAAATAAGTTTTTCAAATACAATACAACAATAATATATAATAACTAAAAAATATCTCATCCATATAATATATAAAAATTTTTAAAAAAATTATAATAAAAATTTTTTATATACACTACTACACTAAAATTTTTCAAAATCACCCAAAAAAATAACTAATCCAGACGGAGGTTTCGTAAGGTACCCTTTTTCCTCAATCATTTTTACTCGATAACTTTCCCAAAAATGGTCCAAAGATAGCATTGCTCTTTCTTTTCACCAAATAACATCAGCTCCCCCTCAACCTTTTATCCTTTCTTAAACCTAATATATCAAAATCTTAGGAAAGAAAAGGCTTATCTTTTTGCTATTTTTTTAAAATAATCTTGGGCAAAAGAATAGTAAAGTTGGTTTTTTGGCGTATTCACATGAGATTCCCAGACCTATAAGACAAAAGTTGATAGATTCTTAGATCATTGTTTTTACTAATTTCGATTTCATTGATACGAATTTTGATCCAATTTGAACGAAAAAAAAACTACTGGGTTGTCTCTTTCATTAATACGATTTAACTATAGTTTATTTGTGATTTTGTTTATGGGTGAATTTTGAAGTTTTGAGAAAGACCTGAAAAGTAGTAGTGAAGGGAGAAGAGGCCGCACCAAAAAGGGTGAAAAGTGATGTTGGGTTGTTATGTGACCGCAATGCAAGGAGAAGCTTGCTATGGATTTTTATTTTTATTTTTTAATAAAATTTTGGACTCTTGATCGTTTTGTGGAGCAACTTTGACCTTTCACTTATTCAATTAAATTATTCTAAGAGAAGTTACTATCAAGGGGTCTTTTTGGTCAAATTACACGGTTTGTTTAATAATAATAGGCAAAATATAAAAAAGTCCTCTGCAGTAAACCTAATACATAGAAAAGTCCCTCGTAGTTTCAAAATATACAATACGACACCCGTACTTTGAACTAAATTGTAAAGGTAATGGAATCCGTTAAACTTAACGGAAATGACTTATTGGAATCTAAAAAAAAAATTTATACTTAATTTTTAACAAATATACCTGTTCTACCCCTTAACCCTCAATTCTCTCTATTTAGAATATAAAACAAATGATTTTTTTGAACTGTCTTTTGCTTAATTATATCAGAGTATTTTGGTCATTTCATCCATTTCCGTTAAGTTTAACGAATTTCGTCACCTTTACAATTTAGTTCAAAGTACGGGTTGTCGTGTTATATATTTTGAAACCATAAGAAACTTTTCTATATATTACTCCCTCCGTCCCGTTTTGTTAGTCTTGTTTTCCTTTTTCGTCTGTCCCAAATTGTAGTCCACTTTCCCATTAAGGAATGTAGTAATCTTTCAAATTGTCTAAAATACCCTTATTAAATATCTTGTTATTAATACATTGTTATTAAATACTAACCCACTACATTGAATACATTGAGTTTTTCCAAAACATAGATAAATGAAAAGTCTATCTTTGTTATTCTTTGAAATTTATTTATATCAGAAGGGAAACAAATAATGCCATCATTATTTACAAAATCATGAGTGAAAATTTGAAAAACCATCCATATTCTCACAATTTTTCTGATAAAACACCAACAAAAGAATATGATCTCATCTCAACGAGTCAAGAATGTGCACAAGTTGTCTTTGAAATGCAGAGGATTTTTTTGCCCAAGTTGAAATCGGTGAAGCCATCAATTGACGTATTTATAGAGTTCAGTGTAAAAATTGAAGATAATTTTGGTGGGAATAACTTGAATCCACTATTGGCGGATGATTGAAAATGAAATGGAGTATTTGGCGCCTGAAATGGATTATGAAGTGGAGTATTAGCGGCAACTGATATTTATTGGCACTATTGGCGGTAATTGAAACAATCAGGGTGCACTAATGGCGGTAACTGATATATATTGGCACCATTAGCTGTAACTGATATTAATTGGCACTCTTCGTGATTAGCATAAGGGTATTTTAGGAAATTATTAATCTAAATTTATGTTTCCAACCAAATTAATTACACTTTCTTAATCTGTGTGAAAAAAAAATCAAGACTAACAAAACAGGACGGAGGGAGTAGATTTATCACAGGAGACTTCTTTATTTTTTACGCGTAGAAATAGAAATATGACCGAACCTTAAGGGAAGTAAATGTAATTTATTATAAAAAAAAAAAAAAAAAACCTGCTGGCGCAATGTTTAAACGCGGATCGAAGGAAAGCAATTTGCACCTCCCCGAGCCCGAGAGCTAGAACTAAGTATAGAGTTGTACCAATGCCTTTGCTTTCCTTGGAAACCAGATCGAGCTCCGCCACTTCTCCTCGATCGAATTGTATATAAAACGCAGACGCCTTGAAGGTGCTGCACCTGCGAAACCTGCCATGGGAATGTAGTGAAGAAGAGCTAATCGAGCTATGCAACCCTTTCGGAAAGGTCGTGAATGCCAAGTGCAACGCCGGCTCTTACCGCAACCAAGCCTTCATAGATTCGTAAGTTGCTTCTCTTATTTCCACTTTCTTTTCTTGTTTTTCTGGTTGCAAATTTTGCTCAATGTGGTGTGCATTCGGTGCAATGAATGGAAATCTAAATCGTTTTTAATTTTGAATTGGCCATAACTGAATTCATTTCGTAACCGATTTCAAATTCGAAAACGGTAATGAATTCGGTCTAACCGAATTCATCTATTAAAAAAAAAACTGTGTATGACTGACAGTTTTTCCTCCCATATCCTTTGGATGATGAACATTGAAATTTCAAATGGACGAGTAACCGTTAAGCAAGTGCTATAGAAAGCAAAGAAGATTTGGCATGAATTGGCAGAATATTATTCTCTGGGACGTATTAAAATTTTGGCGGCTAGACTGCTCATCGGTAGCTAGAGTAGTTTATATAATCACATTGCATGAGTTTGAACTCATACATGGAGTAATTATGTGATCAGCTGAATCTTGTTGTATGGTTATGCAGTGCAGTTAAGTGGTGGAAAATTGGCTGATTTCGGGATTTTTGCTGAGGGGCTGGTTCTGTATTGACAGTAACTCTTGTTTCAAGTTCTGATGCAGGTGGACCTTAGTCAAGCAATTAATATGGTCAACTATTATGCTTCATCTTCTGAGCCTGCACATGTACGTGGAAAAACTGTTTACATTCAGTATTCAAACAGACATGAAATTGTTAACAATAAGAGTCCTGGAGATGTTCCAGGCAATGACCTGCTGGTTATTATGATCGAGGGTGTTGAAGCTGGAGATGTCAGCATCCATGTCATTCACTTGGTAATTGCTTTCTGCGAGTTCTTTTATACTAAGATTTGCATTTCGAGCCTAAATTGGAGCTTGGGAGTTCATTCCCTCCCTATGTTTTCTCTCTCTGTCAACATATGTTCACGAGTTGTTCATCACTTGGCATTAGGTTTGATTAGAACAAGCACACGAGCCTTTCTTTAGGAGCCAGGTAGTTCTTCCACCACAAATTTTGTGCAAACTCTCACTACCATTTATAGGAACTTTTCATTGTTTATAGTGGCTGATATCCTTGTTTGCATTTCAATTATTTTTCCTGTAAATGTCAGACAATTATCTTTTTGTATTTTAAGCTCCATACTTTAGTCTTTGCACTTGTCCATCTATGATCAGTATTCTTGGCATCTCTGCCCATGTTTCTTTGGTTTTTTATCCTGCTTTCTATGGCAGTACTCAATTGTCAATTGTGTAAATGTCGGACAATAAGGACTGTATGGTTGAGGTATTGAAAGTGCAAGTTTGAGTTAGTTCTTCTGTA